AATCCTCAATACATAATACCTATTTTAATCTCTCATAAATAATGGCCCAGTGCGTGTCGGGACACGTGTAAGGTAGAAATGAGATTGATTCATGAGAACAAAACCTGGCATAGGTAATAATATGTGTACATTTCCACACGCGATCATTAGAACAGCTAGTTGGTTCAATACACAATATGGATTATAGATATACTTGAATATAACTACTTCATCTTTTTAGGTTTTTTTTTACCTTGAAACATTGCCTGCTCAAATTAGTTTTAATAAAACGGAAAATGTCCTGTTGGCGGCGTGTAGGAGTTCGACCAGTGAACTGGCACTACCACCACCTCATCATAAAACTACTAAATAATTCTTATGTGAGATTGAGGTGGATGTCGATATAACCTCGATTATGCCGAAGGTTGAATATCTAAACAGATGATAGGGAGTAGCGTCAATTTTTTTCGTACATCTTTCCAGTTCTAAATTTATAATCAATTTTTACAGCACATGATGAAATCTGATTATGTTGAACTTTGGCATACTTATTTAACTTCAATGACGATACAATAATGTGGTACCACGGAGCTTTATTTAAATTGATTTCATATTATAGGTAAGTGAGGGTAATATGGTCATAAAACAAAAATCAGGAGTAGGACAGAGACAAAAACACAAAATCGTGTACTATAACTAATATATTAAGAAAAAAATAGTAAACAAGCCTTGGAAATAATTAGGAACACTTCGAAAAATTAACTTAAAAAAAAACTAAATACACTACACAACACAAAAATCGACTAAAATATTTACAATAATATCAACTGCCAACAACGAGTGAGACCCAAGCAAGAAATTGAGAACAAACGGCCGGAATTGAAACAGAAAAGGATTAGTGTTTCATCATGATAACGCTAGACCACACACAACTGTGGCTACTCAGTTAAAATTGAGAGAGCTTGGTAATGCATCCACCATATAGTCCTGACCCTCAGATTTTCACCTGTTTCGGTCTCTTTACAATTCTTTGGGTAGTGTTAGGTTAACATCAAGAGAGGACTGTCAAAACTACTACTTGTCGCATTTTTGGATCAAAAATCCCAAGACTTCTACAGCAACAGGATTATGTCACTACCTACAAGATGGCATCAAGTTATCGAACAAAATGGCATATTATAGATAAACTTTGAAAAAAAAGTGTGTGTGTACTTATGTACGCACGTAGGAAGTTATACTTCTTTAGCGTAACAAAACAATAAAACTTGGAGACACAATTACCCGTTGAAGTTATCGCTTTTAGGTCTATGTCGCACACTGACAGTGCGCGCGCATCGTAACAACTTTACGGTGTTGTTTTTAGGTGTCGGTGTGCACGCGCATCGTCAAAATTCACTCTCGTCATTTTTCCCAATTGCCCCAAAAGAAGTATAAATTCAAAAATGTTTTGAATTTGCATATAAAATACGAAGAAACTTTTCCCCTACCTATTATTATTGTGACAATTATTTAATTTCATGATAAACATTTATTTTATAAAATTTTCTATTTCCTGTTTACCGGATGAAACAGCTAGATCACTACTGGCATCGTTCTCTATCTGTTTGTAAAGTTTCATAACAATCGAATTAGCCATTCCGAAGATTAGCCCAGCCCAGACAGATGGACATAAAAATTATACAAATAGTTGCCTAATGACATGCATATAACCTCTTCAGTTCAATAAAAGGCAGTTATATCAATATTACTGACAGACACTTCAAATTTTATCTTTATGTATCGTACCACAGCATCTTTTTTGTATTATATTTTTATATGTTTTTCTAGATGTTTTTTTCATTGGAGAGCTCATAACTGCAACCGAAAATGCTCTCTGGTTTGGTGCTTTTTTAATGATATTTTACAATGCTTGACTTATAGAGTAATGTACGTTTTTTAAAACACTGTTTCATTTTTCAGCCTCATGCTTTTACTCTCCTGGCCATTTTGAACCACACGCGGCATCAAGTGAGAGAGCTCTATCAACTCGGTAACAATGATGCAGCTATGGCATACAGGTATATGAAAAAAGCAAATCTTAATGAACCAAATTCTTAATAAATTTGAATATAATTGTAACATTTCATATATATAATTATAACAATAGATGTTTATTAATACTAAACATTATTGCATACTTCTGTGAAACACGTAGCTATAACTTATATACCACAAAAATGGTAAAATTAAAAACCGACTTCAACATAAACATTATTTATTGTTGATTTTTTTAAAACCGGTCGACCGATTTCGATAAAATTTAAAAGGGGCCACCTGGGAGGTATACCCTTTGAAACAAAAAAGAATTTTCCAAGTCGGTTCAGACATCTTTGAGTAATCGGTGTACATACATAAAAAATATTCCGACGAATTGTAAACCTCTCCTCCATTTTGAAGTCTGTTGAAAATAGGTTAATATTTTTATTATACTAGAAATATTTTCTATTGTCAGATATAATAAATAATAAGTGACATTTATAAAAGTTTCCAATTTCCCTTGCCTTCATGATTTGTTTATAATACGAGGGTGACAGACGACCTGATGGTAAATGATTTTTTTTATAGGATAGGGTGACAAACGAGCTAACAGTCTACCTGATGGTAAGTGGTTGCTGTTGCCCATAGATATCTACGTGTATCCTCCATTACGAATCAAAATGCATATGCGTTGTCACCCGTGATGACTAAGATGGAATGCCTTGTTTCCAGTAAAAAGGGTCCGGTTCTCTACACTCACCATACGTAACACAGCAGTGTTATGCTGCTATTTTACGCTGGTATTCTGTGAGAGCGTGGTCCTTCCCCGGTCGAGCCGACCCATTCGTGCTACAATGATGTTTGTGTGGACATTAGCCTATATTTCATTAATAATCAAAATACAGATGCGTTGTCACCTCTGAGAACTAAGACGGAATTTCTCATTTCTAGTAAAAAGGGTCTCAGGATCTCTACATTCACATCTAGATTAAACACAGCAGCTTTAAGCTGCTATTTTACGCTGGTATTCTGTGAGAACGTAGTCCTTAGTAGTTAGACCCATTCGTGCTACGACCATATCATAGCTGCAGCGTGGCTCTTCTACGTGAATGATGTTATACGAGTAAAGTAAAAAGGAAATTGACAGCTTATATACGGTCCACCGCGCTGTCCTTATGCGTGTTGCCGAATTGCACACTGCACACGTCATCGAATTATTGTTTCGACTTCTTCGACATGCAGGTTTCCACACGATGTTTTTGTTCACCACCGAACGCGTGGTAAATCAGGACCTGAGATTACCAATTTCATTGATTGTGATGAAAATTTTACTAATTTAAATTCAACCTTGCATTCGTACATACGTCCTAGAGCGTAGTGTTCGTGTAGTGTCAGTGTAACTACAGTGACCACAAAACACGATTTCTCATACACGATTTTTTTTTATAGAATAAGGGTGCCTAAAGAGCACACAGTCCACCTGATGGTAAGTGGTTACTGTGGCCCATAGACATCTACATCTATCTTCGTTTGCGAATTAAAATGCAGATGCGTTGTCAGCCGTGAGGACTAAGATAGAATTCCTCTTTTCCAATAAAATGGGTCTCCGGTTCTCTACACTCACCATACGAAATACAGCAGCATTAAGCTGCTATTTTACGTTGGTATTCTGTGAGAGCGTGGTCCTTCCCCGGTTGAGCCGACCCATTCGTGCTACAACTATACTATTAACATAGCTGCAGCATGGCTCTACCACGTAAAGACATATTCGCGTACAAACAAATTAGCGAAGAAAGAACTGAGATAACGATATTAATATCTTCGATTGTCCAAGTTCATAAACACTTTATAATAAAGGACCATTCGAACATTGCATTAAGTCCATATACGCGCAATACGCCGCAATGCGTGCATACCACACTTATTCACACCACTCGAGTCTAATATTAGCCTTTACAATGCAGTTGCGTGCTGAGTGATCTAGCGAAGCTGCTCATATTGTTGAATAAACAACACGTGCCCGTCGTCCCTGATGAGTGGCCGAGGCTCGCTAGTTGGGCGGAACGGTAAGATATTTAAAATGTTTAATTTATAACATAAAATTGCTAGTTAGTTAGCTAAATATTAAAGTGCCGTGTAGCCGCAGCATAAGAAAATTCACTACCTATATCATCCCGTGGGTGTCGTGTGTAGTGAGAAATAAACCAGGAAATGGGAAGCAGCATCCTCCTGATAACAGCTCAAAAAGATAAAAAACTGCAATTGCCAACCCGCTTGCCAAGTATGGCAACCTCATAATATATTTAGGGCCAAATATCCCACCTATAAGGCAATTTATGGCGAAGGCCCATTATGTGTAACATTGAACTTTTAAAAGGCATTGAATAAATGAGTATAATATAATTAATGGTGTCAAATAATAAAAAATTATATGGTCAAATGTTTCCTGAGCTAAAAATTCAATAACGTATTTTATATTTAAAAATCTTTTAATCTATTAAAATATATATAGTAGCTTTGATATTTAAAATAATATAAAAAATTGGGGTATAAGAAAAAATAACAAATGATTTATTAGTTGGTCATCTGCTGATCATGGCGACCTAGGTACAAATCCCGGGTCGGGCCAAAAATCAGTTTTTGTTTGGTTTTTCTCTCAAGAAAATCTCAGAGTCAGGGAATTGGTGGTATTTCACCCCTGAGCCTTGTAAAGTGCGGGCTCTCCGGTCGTGTCGGATTGCCGTCCTATCGGTCTTGAGGGAATAGATACTGCGCATATGGCCAGTCTCTAGCCTCCGTGACCCCAAATCGGTTTGGAGTACATTATAAGAGCAAATATATATGTAGATAATATACCACCTTTTTACAAATGCCAACGTCACATACACGCGATGTCTCTTGCTGATTGACGGACAAGGCGGTTACCAATTGATGTCGGAAAATCCACTCAAAAATAGACTCGTGATTAAAAGCATCATTATTCATTAACAATGCGAGAAATTAGCGCAGTGGGCGTTGGCGTATTCTTGATAAGGTCTGCAAAGGATTAAAAAATCTATTGATGTGATTTTAGAGTTAATTTCCGAACCAATGGTAAATTAAACGTATGAATGACTGAGTATTATTTATTATATAAATAAAAAAACTATTTTATATCTATTATAGTTTTTAAAAAAACAACGAAACATTTGATTTGACGGCTCTTTAACGTTTGGTTTCGGCGCTGCTGGTGCTCGAGTTCGAATCCCGCACGACCTACACATAATTGTTCTGGACCAGATCAATGAGCAGTTCATAAAGCGAATAGAAAAACATTTTATTGTATGGATAACTTTTTTATATAATAAAAAATAATTTGACGATAATATTAATGTTCCTACTATTAAGAATTAAGGGTTAAAAAATTAATAACTTTAACACCAATTCTTACTTTCGATATTCATTTCTCTTAATTCTTTTTATTTTAAATTAGGTATTTCATTTTTATAAGTTATAATATATTATGTATATTACAGGATATTAAAACGCTACAGCCGTATGAGCGTTGGTCAGCAACAACAGAATCAACTAATAAACTTTCTGCCCACTCCATCGAGTCAGGAATCAGACTCGGAAACTACGCAGCAATCATTTTCAACTTTTAAACCACCATCTTATTCCCCCACGTCTTTTGACAGCCACACAATAAACAAAGAACTAAACCAATGTCAGTGGAATAATATTAGACCACCGAGCTACTCACAAATAGAGAGGGAGAAAGATAATTATACGCAAATAGAGGGGCAGAAGGAGACAATCATCCTCTCTGATCCATGGGAGAGGAGACCGATTGTGAGAAGAGAGAGTGTGTGGCTTGAAGATGAGCTCTTCGAAATGACGAGGCGGCCTCAAGACGAACTTACCACTGAACTTTAATTATTGAGTTATTAATAATAACTCAAGGCTTTGTTATCGCCGTTTACACAGTAGTACAAATGTTTTTAATTATTACATTAGTTGAATATTGAACTAGATTTTAACTAATTTAAGATTAGAAAAAAAATACCGCCGACAAACGTATTAATTTGTAAGAGGAAAAATGGAACCATTTAAGTTATACTTCATCTGCAAATAATTGCAATTTTTAATAACTAAAGATAAAAATAATAATATAAACTATATTTTAATTTAAAATTAAACTTAAACTTAAAAAAAAACGTGTGTGTGTGTACTTATGTACGCACGTAAGAAGTTATACTTCTTTAGCGTAACAAAACAAAAATAATTAAAATAAAACGTTTTATAGATTCATAATATATATTTGAATATAGTTATCAGTTTGCAGTTCTCACGAAGACTTAATAGTTAACAGACTGAAGTTGTCGCTTTTAGGTTTCGATGTGCGCGCGCATCGTAACAACTTCATGCTGTCGCTTTTAGGTGTCGGTGTGCGTGCGCATCGTAAAAAATTCACTCTCATTTTTCTCAAACGCGCCAAAAGAATTATAACTTCAAAAATATTATGTACTAAATAATATCATCTCATAGTTGTGTTATGTATCCACATTTCTTTTAAAAAGTAGACGTAATTATGAAATTTATTTAGACCTTATTTCATAAAAGTTATTAACTATTTTATTTTACATATAAAATTGTTATTTAGAGAATTAAATAAAACATAATAAAAAGACCATGCAATACCAAGTGAACATAGAAGTTTGCATTAAAACTTTCTGCTTTTATTACTTACATCTTTCACTTTGTTTTCTTAATAATTACATTCACATTATTTTGTAATAAAGATCAATCATGTAAAAAGAGTTATTTATGTATATAAATTTTATATTGCAGTATTTGTACCTGTAATGCAAAGACCTTTTTATCTTTATTTCTTTAAGCACACACTTCACACGTGTAGGTAGTAAAAAGTAGAATCTTTACACATTATAGTATTGTGCCGACTTAAGTCGAGTTTTAGTTTAAATTCTATTATAAGTATTTTGTTTATATATTAATAACATCAACCAAAGTAGTAAATAATGTTATGTAGGTCTAGTCCAGATAATTCAATATAATAATATGTTCTTGTTTGTAAATAGTTTTTATTACAATACTTATAAAAATATTTTGGCTAAAAACAAGTTTATACGACAATTTTTTCTAGGTGAAAGTATTACTTTTCTGCCTAGGAGGCCGTCTCGGTACCATACCATAGATACCACACCCTTTTTCCTATTTCTGACGCCAAGTATCGGTGCTTGCAATGCCGTGTTCTGGTCTCAAATGTATAGAGAACCACAACCAGTACCTATAATTACAGACTGTGTGGTATTGACTGCAATGGTTATGATCTGCAGTGACCACATACCATCAGATGGGCTGTAAGTTCGTTTACCACTTCAGTTTTATAAAAAAAATATTATCAACTTCGCAGTATAAATTATAGTAGCGAAGGAAATATTAAACCTTTATCCATTTGTCAACCTCCACGACCAACTGAAAACGAAAAATCCATCCAAAAATGACGAACCCAGAAAAGACGAATACGGAGGAACAGCGTAATTAGTTTGTAGGTTTCAGTTCTGTGTCTACGTTCCGCCTGTTCTGCGAGGTGAATATAGGCAACTCTTTTTAGTAATGCATCACTGATATGATGCAAATTATTGAAAAGGCGTATATATTTCCTGCAGTAGACCATAAATTTAAATTAAAATTAAATAAAAACACCATTAAAATAGTGTATACATATAGGCTCGTTTATAAAACGAGCTAATGAAATAGTTTAGTGTATTATGTTAAAATACTCCAGTAAAATCCTGTGTCCCTTATAAGAAAACTAGTGTCATTAAGTAAGGCTAAAGAAACTTCTTGTTTACTAACAATCAATTGCAATACAACGAATGTTTTAAAAATCATTAATATCTATAAATAAATTTTATAACTGTTAAAATAAAAAGAAGTTAATTAAATGTTTATTTTTATTTTATCAACTCCTTCACATTTTATCAAACAAGATCTAAGTATATATTTATACTACGTGTTCCGATGGTATTCCAAATTTATCAGTTACTTATACTCTTTGTTGTTTCGTTTGACGTTTGAAGTCCTTTGTGAGAGGCTTTATCTTTTTCGTGTTAGTACCGGTAAAGGTCGCTAATTATCTAGAGCTAGACACACTAGTGCCCGTGTAGTGGCGGGAAAGAATACTCACTACCCCATATCTTCCCGTGGGTGTCGTAAGAGGCGACAGAGGAAAAATGAGGCAGAGGATGGGCAGCTGCATCTTTCTGATAATAGCAAAACAACAATAAAAAACTGCGGTTGCCAGACCGCTCGCCAAGCGTGGCAACTATGGCAATATACCCCCCATGAGCAATGACACTAATAAACGGTCCCCAGTCCCCGGCGGCCCCGCTATTCCTGGCTACGGTGGCGACCATGGTAACGGCGGGGCAGGGGGTGCTAAGAATTTCCGGTGGAGGTTCGGTTGCCACCTACTACGAGTCGACCTGGCAACTTATAACGCACGCACGCTGAGGACTGACGAGAAGATCCTGGAGCTGGAAGAAGAGATAGACAAGTTGCGCTGGAATATCATAGGATTATCCGAGCAGAAGTGCGGTGGTCTTGTTCTTCAAGAAAGGTGACAACGCTCTCTTGAAGAACTACAGACTGATTTCCCTTCTGAGCCGCGTCTACGTGCTGTTTTCGAGAGTCATTACGAATCGTCTCGCGCGCAGACTTGACGACTTCCAGCCTCCCGAAAAAGCCGGTTTCCGAAAAGGCTTTAGCACCATAGACCACATACATACCCTTCGACAAATTGTACAGAAGTCCGAGGAGTACAATTTGCCACTATATCTGGCGTATGTGGACTATGAGAAAGCCTTTGATTCCGTCGAAATTTGGGCGGTGCTGCAGTCCCTTCAGCGATGCCAAGTTGACTGTCGGTATATCGAAGTGCTGAAGTGTTTGTACAGTAGGGCTACGATGGCTATCCGAGTAGGTGAGGTGTAAGACAGGGTGACGTTATATCCCGTTTTCAAGCTTCTGGACTGGAAAGGATACGGTATTAACATCAATGGCGAGTACATCACTCACCTTCGATTTGCTGACGATATAGTCCTTATGGCAGAATCGCTGGAGGATCTAAGCACTATGCTCAATGACCTCAATAGTGTTTCCCAACGGATAGGTCTTAAGATGAACATGGACAAAACAAAGATCATGTTTAATGTCCATGTCACTGGACCATATAGCTCGAAGAACTGACAACCGATGGGGAAAAAAGGTTTTCAAGTGGCGACCTTGGACCGGCGGACGAAGTGTAGGGCGTCCCCCCACTAGATGGACTGACGATCTTGTAAGATATGCAGGAAGTCGATGGATGCAGGTGGCTCAGGACCGTGCTTTGTGGCATTCTTTGGGGGAGGTACAGCAGTGGACTTGTGAAGGGATGTAGTGATGATGATGATGATCCGAGGTCCGAAGAGAGGGGGAGGACACGGCAATCCTCGCATCCGGCAACTTGTTCTATTACTGGGAGGGCGGCCATCTGTCCCAAGGACGTCCAACGTTGTAAAGATTAGAAGTGTGTCAACAAGGGTTACGTATCTTATACTCAGAATCACCAAACGGTACTCGCTGAAGGGCATACAGGTTTACGCACCAACCTCGGCACACCCCGATGAGGAGGTGGAGGAAATGTATGAGGATATCTCTAGAGTCATGCATTCCTCCAAAACCCACTATACGGTGTTAATGGGAGACTTCTACGCAAAACTAGGCACAAGAGAGAACAGTGAGCTGAAAATAGGGAAATTAGGAATAGGGCAACGGAACCCAAGGGGCCAACAGCTGGCCGACTTCATGGAGAAAAAGGGACTCTTTATGATGAACTCTTTCTTCCAGAAGCGGCCCCACAGGAAGTGGACCTGGTCGAGCCCCGACGGTTCGACAAAAAATGAGATTGACTTCATTATAACGGCCAGACGACAACTGTTCAATGATGTCTCAGTCATTGGGAGGGTGAAAACCGGCAGCGATCACCGAATGGTGAGAGTGAGCACACTGAACCTAAACGTTAAGTTGGAGAGGTCACGTCTAATGAAGTCAACGCTCCGTCCCCCTCGTGCTCTAATCCAAAGTCCCGAAACCTTTCAGCTCGAGCTCCGAAACCGTTTTCAGTGCCTAGAAGATTGCAATGCAGTGGACGATATGAATGAAAAGCTTGTGGAAACTGTCCATTCGGTCGGAGCTAAGTTTTGCAAGACCCGCCGCAGAAGAACACAAAACTCTCCGATCATACTCTTAATCTCATGGCTGTTAGACGGGATATGAAGCTACAGTCTTCAGTAGATTTGACAGCATACAGGCAACTGAACAGACAGATCTCCAAATGCATGCAGCAGGACTTACGCAACTTTCATACTGCTCGTATTGAAGAAGCGATCGAGCGGAACTAGGGCTCCAAAGTCTTTGCTAGAGATCTGTCTGCCAGAAAGAGCCAACTGTCGAAGCTGAAAACCGAGTATGGCAGCGTCATTTACGGGACACCTGAGATTTTGAGTGAGATTGAGAGGTTCTATGGGCAACTGTACACATCATCGTTGGAGCCACACGCAAGTGTGCGTAACGATCCAAGAAGGAGTCTTATCCGACACTATTCCGAAGATATCCCGGACGTCAGTCTGAGCGAGATTAGAATGGCTCTCCAGCACATTAAAAACGGCAAGGCCCCAGGCAAGGATGGAATTACAGCGGAGCTTCTGAAAGCGGGTGGAAGACCGGTACTTGAAGTCCTTCAGAAGCTCTTTAATTCCGTCCTCCATGGTGGCATTACACCGGAGGCGTGAAGCAGAAGTGTGGTGGTCTTGTTCTTCAAGAAAAGCGACAACGCTCTCTTGAAGAACTACAGACCGATTTCCCTTCTGAGCCGCGTCTACGTGCTGTTTTTGAGAGTCATTACGAATCGTCTCGCGCGCAGACTTGACGGCTTCCAGCCTCCCGAACAAGCCAGTTTCCGGAAAGGCTTTAGCACCATAGACCACATACATAGCCTTCGGCAAATTGTACAGAAGTCCGAGGAGTACAATTTGCCACTATGTCTGGCGTATGTGGACTATGAGAGAGCCTTTGATTCCGTCGAAATTTGGGCGGTGCTGCAGTCCCTTCAGCGATGCCAAGTTGACTGTCGGTATATCGAAGTACTGAAGTGTTTGTACAGTAGGGCTACGATGGCTATCCGAGTAGGTGAGCTGTAAGACAGGGTGACGTTATATCCCCGAAACTCTTCACCGCTGCATTGGAAGACGTTTTCAAGCTTCTGGACTGGAAATGATACGGTATTAACATCAATGGCGAGTACATCACTCACCTTCGATTTGCTGACGATATAGTCCTTATGGCAGAATCGCTGGAGGATCTAAGCACTATGCTCAATGACCTCAATAGTGTTTCCCAACGGATAGCTCTTAAGATGAACATGGACAAAACAAAGATCATGTTTAATGTCCATGTCACTGGACCATATAGCTCGAAGAACTGACAACCGATGGGGAAAAAAGGTTTTCAAGTGGCGACCTTGGACCGGCGGACGAAGTGTAGGGCGTCCCCCCACTAGATGGACTGACGATCTTGTAAGATATGCAGGAACTCGATGGATGCAGGTGGCTCAGGACCGTGCTTTGTGGCATTCTTTGGGGGAGGCACAGCAGTGGACTTGTGAAGGGATGTAATGATGATGATGGTGATGATGAGACACACAGCCACGGCAGTGTGTCAGCCAAATAATTTTAAAAAATATGTTTTGCTCACTTAATGCGTTGACCTTGAGACCGTCTCTATGTCGTAAGAAATCATAAAAGTTTTCGTAGTGCAACTTTTATATTTGATGAGTTATCGAGAGCAAGATTCCTTACGAAGAAATCTGTTATTTTTAAAAGAAGAGTGGGCAAACTAATATGCGGCTCACCTGATAGTATGTTTTGACTACCGCCCGTGTACTTCTGCAACACTGAGGGAATCGCAGGTGCGGCCTTTTCATAAAAGAGTAGGCTCTTTTCTTGAAGATCCCGAAGTCGTATTGGTCCAGAAATATCGCTGGTGGTAGTCGATTCCACAAGAGAGATGAGAACAGTATTTCATGTGAGCCAAAAATTGAAGTTGCAGGCCAGCATGACACCCTGCTTTTGCTTTTTTACGTGGTAGAGCCATGCTGCAGCTATATTAGTAGTATAGTTGTAGCACGAATGGGTCGGCACGATCGGGGTAGGACCACGCTCTCCCAGAATACCAGCGTAAAATAGCAGCTTAACACTGCTGTGTTTCGTATAGTGAGTGTAGAGAACCGGAGACCCTTTTTACTGGCAAAGAGGCATTCCATCTTAGTCCTCACGGGTGACAACGCATCTGCATCTTGAGTCTTTATTGGGGATAAATGTAGATGTCTTTGGGTCACAGTATCCACTTACCATCAGGTGGACTGTGTGCTCGTTTGTCACCCTATCCTATAAAAAAAAGCATGCCAAGCTTTTTGAAGAGAAAAAGAGAGGCCATATTGGCCTTCTCTTCCCTGCAGTCATTCGATATGCCGACGCCGGGAGTTCCCTTACTAGCTGAGGCAACAAGGTTAGTGCCCTGAAACTGAGAAGATACGACAAAGGGGTTCTTTTTAGCGGTAAACACACAAACTTGTGTCTTCTGGGGATTGAACTGGACTAAATTTAGTCACTCCCAAACCGAGACTTTGTTCAACATAGTTTCAACTTCAGACACAACTTTGTTCCGGTACTTGGCGACGTTTTCCTAAGAAATATTGGGGCGACCGATGTATCATCCAGTGCTGTTCGTCCGCATAACAATGAATATTACCAGTTTGCAACATATCATTGATTTGCAGAAGTAACGACGTTGGTGATAGCTAACAGCTTTTTTAATAGAATAAGGGTGACAAACGATCACACA